GACCCGGCCCCCACGCTGTGTCGTGTGTGAGGGGACCCGGCCCCCACGCTGTGTCGTGTGTGAGGGGACCCGGCCCCCACGCTGTGTCGTGTGTGAGGGGACCCGGCCCCCACGCTGTGTCGTGTGTGAGGGGACCCGGCCCCCACGCTGTGTCGTGTGTGAGGGGACCCGGCCCCCACGCTGTGTCGTGTGTGAGGCGACCCGGCCCCCACGCTGTGTCGTGTGTGAGGCGACCCGGCCCCCACGCTGTGTCGTGTGAGGGGACCCGGTCCCCAAGGCTGTGTCGTGTGTGAGGGGACCCGGCCCCCGGGTTGTGTCGTGTGTGAGGGGACCCGGCCCCCTGGGTTGTGTCGTGTGTGAGGCGACCCGGGCCCCATGCTGTGTCGTGTGAGGGGAATCGGTCCCCAAGGCTGTGTCGTGTGAGGGGACCCGGTCCCAAGGTGGTGTCACACGTGAGTGGATCTGGCCCCCAAGCTGTGTCACATTTGAGGGATTTCGCCCCCACTTTGTATTGTGCAAGAGAGAATCCTGCCCCCAAGTTGTGTCATGTATGAGGGGACCTGCTACCCAGGGTTATGTCGTGTGTGAAGGTCCCAGATCCCTATGTTGTGTCACGTGTGAGGGGACCTGGTCCCCAAGGTTGTGTCATGTGAGGGGACCGGGCCCCAGGTTACACAGCTGTTTTAGGTAATTTGGCCCCTGGGATCATCCCACACTCACTGAATGAGCCACGTCTTCCAGGGTGGCGGAGAAGGACTCGATCAGGCTGTGGGGCAGCTGGGAGAGGAAGCCGACGGTGTCCATGTAGATGACGGCCACGCGGGAGGGCAGCCACCCCGCGTGGGCCGTGACGTCCAGTGTCGCAAACAGCCGATCCTGGGGCCGGACGGCGTCGTCACCCGTCAGGGCCTTGATCAGCGTGGTTTTTCCTGGAAGGTGGGTCACAGGGGACGCGCTGTGTGAGAGGCCCCCTCACCACACGTGTCCCACCTCGGCAGCAGTCGAACCCACGAGCATCCGGCCGAGGCGGCGGCCATGCGTTGTGAGGTCTCTGAGCTCCTAGTCTCCGCCCTGTGTGGTCAGAGAACCTGCCATTCTCGGTCACGCTTGCGGCCCAGAGGGCCAGGGCCCAGGGTACGAGTGCCCGTATGCAGGACGGCGGTGGTGCGGACGGGGTGGTGACGGCCGAGGGGGTGAGGGCACCCGTGCACACCAGGATAGTACAGACCCGGCGGTCACGTTTGTGCACGTGTGGGGGACACGTGATTGGCATCTACTTAGACGAGGCAGGTTCTCCGCGTGTCTGAGATGCAGTAGGTATCTGCGTGGCGGAAAGGTGATGGTGTAGACAGGGGCCGTGGTGCCTACGGGGCATGTGTGTTGTCTGTGAGGTGGGCTGGGTGCCTGTGTAGACAGAGTACTGGTGGTGGAGTTGAGGTATGCGTATAAGGCGGACCGGATGTCGGTGTAGACGGAGTGATGATGGAGTGGGGCGGGTACAGTGTGTGTGACGTAGGCTGGGCGTCTGTGTAGACGGGGTGGTGGTGAAATCGGTGTGTGTGTGTGGGGGGGGTGGACGGGGGTGCCAGCGTTAATGAGTGTGGCGGTGTAGACAGGCAGGAGCTGTATGTGTCTGCAATGGCCCCAGAGGACGTCCCCTCCACTCAGCCTTCCTGCAAGAATGCGCCCGTGTGTGCGCCTGGCCCCCGTGTTCGGGGCCACGCCAGCTCGTGGCCACTGGCTTCAGCCCGCCCCACAGGTGAATGAGGAGATGACCCGGTAGGGCGGCCCCACCTGGATACACAGGTGCCCTCACCACGCAGGTCCCGGGGCACGGACTCCTCTGGGCTGGTGAGCCACGGGCCGCGGGCGTAACCTAGCAGTACTGAGTTCGGTAGCCTCGGCGGAGCTCCAGAAGCTCGGTGCTGACGCCGCCGTGCGGGCGCACTCGCCGTTTCCCACAGGGTGAGAGCCTGTATCTGCCCAAGCGGGATTCTCTGCAGCTGCGGTGCCCCCGCACTTTGTGTTCCAGGTTTTGTGGGAAGTTCCCTCCCTCCTTGAGGACAGGGAGCCGGTGGCGTGAGGCTGGTGGGGACCTCACGCTGGCAGGGGAGTGGACCCCGCGCGGCCCGGCACCCGCTGGCGGACCGGACCCCGACGGTGAGGAAGTCGCACCTGCCGTTGTCTCCCTTTACCGAGCACAGCCGTGAGCTCAGGGCTTCGGGACGAAGGAGACCCGAGGTTCCGTGTCCTGCAGATGATCGCGCTGAGCGCACACGTTAAGGTAAACCACGAGCCCTGTGGTGAGGTCCTACTGCGCAGTCTGAACCGCTTTTATCCTTCTAGGGGCCTGCCCACCATGAATGGTCTTAACACCGTCACCCTTCTGTCTCTCTCTGAGTCTCAACACACCTTTAAGAGAGGGGAGTGCAGTCCGCTGTCCAGCACTCGATGACCACGCCGCTGACCTGACGGGGCACCCGCCGTGGGCCCTGCAAATGCCCCGGGGACACGAGCCACGCTTTCCACCTGTTCTCATCATCCGCCGGCCCTCTGAATCCCAGGGCCTTGTTGCGTTGGCGAGCGGTGTCTCCCCAAATGCACTAGCAGGGTGGTGGGGGGACGGTGGACCCCCCCAGGAGCCCCCAGAACTTCTCTCACCGCAGTTTGTGTATCCCACCATGGAGACCACAGGAAACTCCCGCCGTCTGCGCTGCCTTCCCAGGAGACGCCTTTTCTCCCGAAGTCTGTCCAGGGCCTTACGAATCTTCAGCTCCTTGTCCTTCAGCAGGCGCCGTTGCACCTGCACGAGCGATTCTCCTACAAACACCCAACACGGCGAGTCGGCGAGCACACTCACAAAGACGTGAGAGCAGAGTGAGCCACGCGGGTCCCTGTGTGCGTTGTGGACAGGCATTCTGCCGCTGGGCCCCGCCCCCCGCCCCGCCGGTCTGCTCCTCTATACTGCCCCAGCACCTTCCTGTCTGACAGATGGCTTCACCCAGTGGAGGGTGGCCTCGCCTCCGGACTTCCGCCCTCTGAGGCCACCTGGGCTCCCCTTTATTTGGCAGTAAGGGAGAGCCTCAGAAGGACAGCCCCCATGATATCCAGAGCCACCTGAGCGGTGCCCCAAAGACACATCTACATCCTGACCCCTGGGACCTGTGAACGGTAACTCATTTCGGAATATGGTCTGGGCGCATATAACTGGTGAGGGATCTGAGGGGTCATCCCGGGTCAGCGTGGCCCTAAATCCAAAGACAAATGTCTGCGTAACAGAAGAGAAGACAGAGGAGAAGCCGTGTGAAGATGTGAAGACCCATGTGGGAGGGACGCAGCCACGAGCCCAGGGACGCCTGGAGCCCCAGAAGCTGCAAGAGGCAGGAAGGACCCTCCCCTGGAGCCTCTGGAGGGAGCACAGCCCTGCCCACTTGGATCTCAGTGGCCCTGCCCACCCCCCCCCCCCCCCCGCCCCGATCTCAGCGGCCCCGCCCCCACCCCACCCCCCAGATCTCAGACTTCTGGTCTCCAGAGCTGACAGAGGAGATTCCTGAGGTTTGAAGGCTCTGGCTTGTGGTCCTTCATTGCAGCCACCCCAGCAGACCACGTAGATATTCTAGTTTGTGTGAATGGGACCATGTACGAGGTCACACGCAGCCCCACTGGGATCTTTCAGCGCTGCTGTCCCCTTCGTAAGGGTGGCTGCCGTGACATACCCCCTTGTGAGCACGCGGTGGCAAGACCTCACGTTACCTGACCCCATGATGTAGCGTGAGCCTCCTCCCCGTCCATCCAGGCGGGTGGTGCTGCTCAGGTGGGACCTGCCGTGGAAAGGGGGCGCCTCAGTAGACAGGGTGAGACGTCCGTGCCCACCTAGGGGGAGCGCACCAGCTGACAGCACACAGACGCGAGGGTGAGATGAGAACTCTGGGTGCAGAGAGCGAGGCAGGGGGTCACGGAAGGGGGGGCCCCCGCAGCGGGGTGACCTGTCCGGGTAGGCTCGCTGCTTGGACAGGAGCCTGACAGGCCTCGTCCGGGAGGGCACGCCAGCCCCGCCTTCCGTCTTCCCCGCACCCCAGGCAACGGGTCGGACACGCGACTATGCGAGCCCGAGGGCTGGGGTGTGCCCCGGACCTGAGAAGGGGGAGCTCAGCCAGCGCCACCTGCAGCCGGGCCTCCTTCGTCCGGGCGTTGCGGCGGCAAATGGAAAGAACAACGGAGAATCGGTCAAACACCTGCACGCCCCAGGCGGCCTCGAGTTCTTTCTGGAAACGGAGGGAGGGAGGGAGGGCATCTGCAGCGGTGTCTCGGGTGAAGGGGGCCGCCGAGATGGCGTCGGCGATCCATCCCGGGGCCTCCTCCGTCCGACCCGACTCCCTCCGCCCTCCGCCCTCCGCCCGGAGCGTGGGAAGCGCCCGAGACTCCCGCGTACCTTGGTGGGCGGGGCCATCCTCTCCACGTTCAGAAAGACCGCGGTGATTTCTGGCAACGCTCGGATTTTCTCTGAGGAAAAGAGAAGGTTCGGTCGGAGGTCAGGGCTCCATGGGGTCTGTCGTGGGGCCGACCCTGGGCTCAGGCTGGCTGTGGTCACCGGGTACCCCTCGACTCCCTGAGTGCGTATTTGGGAAGTCGGGTGTGTGAGGCAGGGGAGGGGAGGACCGGGGTCCCTTCGGGGGTCGTGGGTCTTGCACACGCAGGTGACACGACCCCACGGGGTCTGAATGGCTCCGTGACCTGCGGTGACAGAGCCGGGCGGCGAGCACCCCCTCAGCGTATCCGCAGGGCTCGCCGCTCTGAAGTGTGACACCCCCGGGGGTCCCTGGAAGGCAGGGTTCACACACAGCACCCTGTCTGCGGGGAGGGCCGGGCTGGGGCCCCGGGGCCGGTTTCCACCGGACTCTGAATTGCCCCGACGGCCCCACTGGGCACAGTTCGGGCTGCGATCGGGGCACGGAGGCGTTTCGGACGTCTGATCCAAGTTCCCGCGAGGACGCCTCTCCTCGGCCCAGACGGCGAGAGCCCCACCGTTCCTGCTCCAGGAGGAAGAGAGCCAGGGAGCAGGGCCCACCTGTCAGGTGCCGCAAGGTCCCTCTGCCGAACGCGACCTTCCCGTCGGGTGTTCCGGTGGGCACCACCATCCTTTCCACCACCGACCAGCGGTCCAGCGTGTGGACCAGAGATTCCGCCTCCGCCACCTGCCGGTCAGCTTCGGGGAGACACAGGGCCAGGGTGAGGGGCACACCCCTGCGAGGTCGGCCCCGGGGCCCCGTGCTCCCCAGCTCGGATGGCTGCCCGCACGGCGGCACAGAGGTCCGGACGCAGCACCCAGGTAGGCACCTGGTCCGAAACACAGCTGTGTGCCCCCAGGCCCAGACCGTTGCAGGCTCCGCTCACGCCGGACGCCGGGGGCTGGGCAGACAACGGGACGTGGGCTCGGTGAGGCCCCCGCGGTCTGTCGTGACCCAGCGGACAGCGGGTCTCGTGACGGAGCCCAGGAACTGGCTACATTCATTGCCTGCAGGGTGGGCTGTGAGCCCCCGCTTAGGCACGGAGTGGGGCGCTGGTGCCGGTGGGTCCTGGGGCTTGGAGTCCTGACTGCTGCCGACAGGGCTGAGGGGGGGCTCAGGGCTCCGTGACACGGAGGCCAGCGTGCTGGGTCCCACCCCTGTGACGCTTGTACTAAGCGCCCGCTGTGCCCCAGTGCGGTCCGCCCTCTCCCGGCGGCCGCCTTGGAGCACAGTGTCCTCAGGTTCCCCTGAGGGACCTCGCTGGTCCTCCTCACCTCGCCCCTCTGGGTGGGGTCCCCCGATTCGACTCCTTAACCGTCACGTGTGGGGCATCGGCAACCCCCACAGACGCGGTCTTTCCTGACCTCCTTGGGGGGCCACATCCCCACTCAACCGTGGATCACCGTGCAGCTTCCCACAACCCCCCTGGCGGTCCTGCTCCTGTGGCCACTCCCACAGCCACCGGCCTGCGGGTCTGGTCGAAGTGCCACGTGGGACCCCCAACGCTAATGCTCGGGGATCCACCAGGTGGGGATGAAACCTCAGGACACTTGTGTATTCACAGTTCACGTGCACGGGCTCACTCACAACTGGGCCCTGCTCGCAGGACTACGGAGGCTTCCCCCACCCCTCACCTCCCCACCCCTGCACCACAACTCCCTACCCCTGCACCACAGCTCCCCACCCCTGCCCCACACCTCCCCTCCCCGCCCCACACCTCCCCTCCCCTGCCTCACACCTCGGCACCACACCACTGAAGACCAGTTGACACCACTTCCTTGTACCCCATCTATCATATCCGGCCATTAGGAGAAAATTACAGGGTATACCGACAGGTGACAAACGTGATGTAAAGACACAGAGCAGCGTCAGAGCCAGTGGAATATGGCAGGAATGCTGGAATTATCGGACCAGGAACTTACAACAACTATGATTCATATGCTAAGGGCTTTGACAGATAAAGGAGCCGGCACGCAAGGACAGATGGGCAACGTAAGCAGACAGATGGAAATTTGAAGAAAGAGCCAAACAGAAATGCTGGCTGTCACAAACACTCCAACGAAAAGGAAGAATCTGCTAATAGGCTTATGAGTGGGCTGGGCAAGGCCAAGGAATGAATCTCTAAGCTTGAAGACAGGACAAGAGTCGTGATGAAGAAATGCCGACTGTGAATGACGTAGAGAAACTGAAAAGTCAAGCCACAAACTAGAAGAAAATATTTGTAAAAAACATCTGAGAAAGGGCTATTATCCAGAACTCTTAAAACTTAGCAATAAAAGAAGAACTTGAGGGGTGCCTGAGGGCTCAGTCGGTCGAGCGTCCGACCTTGGCTCAGGTCATGATCTCGTGGTTCGTGAGTTCGAGCCCCACGTCGGGCTCTGTGCTGACAGCTCAGAGCCCGGAGCCTGCTTCGGATTCTGTGTCTCTCTCTCCTTCTGCCCTTGCCCTGCTGGCACTCTGTCTCTGTCTCTCAAAAAGTGAATAAACATTAAAAAGTGTATTTTAAGGGGCCCCTGGGTGGCTCAATGGGTCGAGTGTCCAACTCCGGCTCAGGGCATGATCTCGCAGCTCGTGAGTTCGAGTCCCGCATCAGGCTCTGTGCTGAGAGCTCAGAGCCTGGAGCCTGCTTTGGATTCTGTGTCTCTCTCTCTCTGCCCCTTCCCTGCTCATGCTCTGTCTCTCAAAGATGAATAAACTTTAAAAAAAAAAACAAAAAAAAAACAAAAAAAAAAACTTGATCAAAAGCTGGGTCAAACAGGACGCCTCAGTGGCTTGGTCGGTTGAGGGTCTGACTTTGGCTCAGGTCACAATCTTATGGTTTGTGAGATCGAGCTCTGCGCGGGGCTGTCAGTGGGAGTTGGCTTGGGACCCTCTGCCCCCTCTCTCTTCACCTCTCCCGCTCCCGCTCTCTGAGAAATAAACTTTAAAAACATTTATAATAAAAATATAAAAAAACAAAAGCTGGGCTGAAGACCTAACACACACTTGACCACAGAAGCTGGGGAGAGACGCTCTACACCATATGTGGTCGGGGAAATGAACGCACGTTACCTCGAGAGCCACGCACACCTGTGAGGCTGGCCCAGACGCAGAACGCGGACAACACCTGACACTGGTGACACGGGTGCAGCAAGAACCCTCCTTCATCACTGATGGGAACCCAAAGTGGTGCAGCCGCTGGCAAAGCAGTTTGGTGCTTTCTTATAAAACCAAATGTGCTCTTACCAGAGGGTCCAGCAGAATGCTCCCTGGTATTTACCCAAGTGAACAGAAACTTAGGTCCACACAAAGCTGCACGTGGATGTTTACGGCAGCTTGGAAGCAACCTTGATGTCCCTCAGCAGGTGGATGAATAAATACACTGGGGGCCATCCAGACAATAGGGTCTTAGCACCACCAGAAACAAATGAGCTGTATGGCCATAGAAACTCACGCAGGAGCCTTAGATGCATGTGATTGAGCGACAGGAGCCGGTCTGAAAAGGCTGCGTAGTGGAATGTTCTAACCCCATGATGTTCTGGAAAAGGCAGAACGAGGCACATAGTAAAAATATCTGCAGTTGCCAGGAAGGGGGTGGGGTGAAGCATGAACAGGAGGGGCAGTGAAATCCTCTGCAGAATCCTGTAATGATGGATCCGTAACATTGTACATTGTCTAGACCCACAGAGCGTGAAACACTGAGAGTGAATCGTACTGTAAACCATGGACTCTGGGTGATTCCATGTTCACGTAGGTTCCTGGATCGTAATACGTGTCCTGCTCTGATGGGGATGCTGGTAACACATGAGGCTAACCAGGTGGGACAGGAGGTATAGGGAACCCTCTGTACTGTCTTCTCAAGTTTCCTGTGCAACTAACACTACTCTAAAAGGATTTAAAAGAGAAAACAAGGAACATAGCACTGAGATGCAATGTTCTTGAACAGGAAAGTTCACAGGAACAGAGAGCAGATTCGTGGCTGTGAGGGACTAGATGGGGATGCGATGCAAAGTGGCTGGTATTAAGGGGACAGGGCCTCCTGTGGTGATATGAACCACACAGAGGGGCTGGCTGCAATGTGCTAAATGCTACTGAACTGTGCCCAGCAGAAGGCTAATTGTACGAATGACATGTTAATAAAGGTCTAAGGGGAAGAGGGGAATTAAAAGAACCCACTGTATCAGGTCACCCTCCTGCTCAATGCAGAGTACTCGTGACAACCCCAGCACTTACAGCCCACATCAGTGTGTGTTAGACACCCAGGGACTCCACTGTAAGTGCCCCCACCTCCCCAAAGCCACCCAGCCAGCCTGCCGAGGGTCACAGGCCGTGCTCCCTGGAGGACCCCTCTCTGGAGACTGTCCTCACATCTCTGTGCCTGCCCCTTTCCACTGTGGGGTCTGGTCTTCCCAAGCCATTCAGGATCGCCTGCTGAGACCCTCGAACCAGGTTTTCGTCCACCCGAAGCACGTGGGCCCAAGAGGTGGCTCTCTGCCGTGAGTGCATGCTGTGCCCCGAGCCTCCATCAGCACAGGCACAGCACTGGCTGTTAGCTACTGGGGGGAACGGTGGTGGTCCCAGGCAGCTGCCCTGGAGAGGGCAGGCAGACAAGGGTTTGCGGTTCCGGGTATAAAGTGCATGTACTATAACCGTCTTCTTGCGCAATCTTTAGTATTCAGTGGTTACATAAATGAAAATGCTGCACAGTAAGGTACTTAAGGATCCATCTCACACACACACACACACACACTCACAAACACACACAGACGGGGCACACTGGCTCTAGACTTTTGTTAGATTCTTTACAAAAGAACGGGTAGGACACAACACACAATGCAGGGGAGAGGAGGGCTTAACCAGGAAGCAGGCAGAGAGGGGATAGGGCCAGGCAGCAGAGAGCTGGTGCTGCCTCCAGCAGGTTTAAGGGGGATGGGTGCTGGCATTTCAGTGCTGCGCTTAGCGCCCCGCCCCCTCAGCCCAAGCCCTCCGAGTCTCCGCCCCCCGATGCCCCGCCCCTCCCGATCTCCGCCCCCAGAGCGCCAGCCCTGACCTCTGGCATTGGAAGCCCCGCCCATCCGAATCTCCGCCCCCAGCGCCAGCCCTGAAAGCCCCGCCCCCAGCCTCCACTCCGGAGTTCAAGCGCCTACAAACACGCCCCCCAAGCCCCGACCCCCCACTGAGCTCCAGCCCGATTCTCCCGAGTCTCCGCCCCCTGGAAGCCCTGCCTCTGAGACCCCGGCTCTGCCCGCGGCGCAGTTCCTGCGCACCTCGGGTCCGCTGCGGCTTCCCGGGTCCCCACTTGACCTCAGGGTGAACCAGGCACACATACTGGGTCCCCACCGGCAGCAAAGGGTCCCTCCTCAGCAGCTCCTCCTCCTCTTCTTCCTCGTCCTCGGCATCTTCTGGTTCCTCCACCTCTCCCGTTCGGCTTCTCGGGCCATCAGCCGGTGGGCCCCGTCCGCCGCCCCCTCGCCCCTTGAGGCCCCCGGGCCCGAAGGTGGCGAGCGCGCGCTCAGGGCAGAACAGCAGCGGCGGCGCGGGTCTCGGAGCCCGGTGGCAAAGAACCACGCGAGACAGCCAGGCCCCCGGGCAGATGGCGGCCCGCAAGGCCTACTTCCCGCGCTCACCGGAACGCTATGGGGCGGGGCTTCGGGTGGGGCGTGTTCCCATGCGAACTCCCCATTGGCCGCCGGACTTAACGTGCTCGTCGCCGCTTGATTGACGCGAGTGGTCCTGGGCAGGCAAAATTTGGGACTACGCCGCCGCCGGGGATTAGCTTCGCTTCCGCGGATCCTGCTCGGGGTGTATGCCCGCATCGGTAGTGCCACCAGCGGGGCAGGCGCGGGCATCCGACCCTGGGCGGGCGCTTCCCCACACCCGTCCCTATCCGGCTTCTGAGCGGGACCGGTGGTTTGGTCCTGGAGGCCTGACTGCTCCCTCAGAGGTCCCACATACTGCCAGGAGGTACGAGGCTGCCCCGGGGGTGGGGGTGCCTACAAATCCTGCCGCGGGAGTCCGAGTGAGGCCGCGGGGGTCCACATCCAGCCTTGGGGTTAGAGGAGCTCCCTCGGGGGTCCCACATCCAGCCTTGGAGATAGGAGTGCTCCCTCAGCGGTCCCACATCCTGTATTGGGGGTCCGAGTGCTGCCCCGTGGGGGGGTCTCCACATCCTGCCTTGGGGTCCGAGTGAGGCCGCGGGGGGCACACGTCATGACTTGAGGCTCAAGAATGCTCCCCCAGGGTTCCCGCACCCTGCTTAGGGGTGTTAAGGCACCCCTTGGGGGGTCCTACATACTGCCTTGGGGGGTCCGAGTGCTCCTCAGGGTTTCCCACATCTTGCCTTGGGGGTCTGAGACCTTTTCGGGGGTCCGGAATTCTACCTTGCAGGTCTAGTACTGCACTGGGGGATCCCACATCCTGCCTTGGAGGGTGGCCCATACATTTGTCTGGCCATGGAACCCAAAAACTAATCCGGACCGGCACCCTCCCTTATGCACTCCACTCAGCCCTTTCGGTCAACAACTGCACTGTTGTGGGTTCAGTCCCTGGAGCCTCCTGGGACCTAACCCTAAATATAACTGAAACCCTAACCATAACCCTCAACCGAAACCTAACCCTATCTCCAAACCTAACCCTATGCTTGACCTGCACCATCCCATGGGCCCTCACTTCAGCCCTCCAGGGAGATCACCAGCCCGGAGTAGCTTCGGCCCTGGCGACATTCCTGGACCAAACCCTAACCTAGCTAAGACTCTCTCCCCATGGGGACCCATTACCAAAGTCTGACAACACCATGCACATGGGGTCCAAGAGCGGTGCAGGATCACTTGGCACAGAACCTGGAACATCAACATGTCATCTCCAAGGCCCGGCAGAAGCTGCCCAGGAGGATTCCTGCTGCCAACCCGACAGGGGCCATTTATTTGTGTGGCCTTGGAACCCAAAGACTAATCCTGACCGGCACCTTCCCATGTGTACTCCACTCAGCCCGTCGGGGAGACAACTGCACTGCTCTGGGTTCAGCAGCTGGAGCCTCCTGGGACCTAACCCTAACCCTAACCCTAACTGTAACCCTAACCATAACCCTCACCCTAAGCCTAACCCTGTCTCAAACCCTAACCCTACACTTGATCCGTACCCTCCCATATGCCCTCACTTCAGCCCTCGAGAGAGATCACGAACCTGTGTCGCTTCGGCCCTGGCGATGTCCCTGGACCAAACCTTAACCCTAGCTAAGGCTCTCACTCCATGGGGACCCAATTCCAAAGTCTGACAACAGCAAACACGTGGGTTCCAGAATCAGTGTAGAAATACTCGGCATGGAACGTGGAACGTCATGTCATTACCCAAGGGTGACTGCAGCTGCAGGAGAGGATTCCTGAGCCTACGCAAAGAGTGGCACATACATTTGTCTGGCTTTGGAACACAAGGACTAATCCTGACAGGAACCGTCCCTTGTGCAGTCCACTCAGCCCTTCAGGGAGACAACTGCACTGCTCTGGGTTCAGAGCCTGGAGCCTCCTTGAACCTAAACCTAACCCTAACTGTAACCCTAACCATAACCCTCACCCTAACCCTAACTCTATCCCTTACCTACACTTGACCTGCACCCTTCATGGGCCCTCACTTCAGCCCTCGAGGGAAATCACGAGACTGGAGTCACTTCATCCCTGGTGACGTCTCTGGACCGAACCCTCACTGAAGCTAAGGCTGTCTCCTGATGAGGACCCATTCCTAACTCTGAAAACACCATGCACATGGGTCCCAGTAGTGGTGCATGATCAATCTGAGGGAATGTGGAAAATCACCATGTCATTTCCAAAGCTCAATTGGATTTGCACGACGGGGCTCCTGACGCCCTGCTGAAGAGTGGCCCACACAAGAGGCTGGCTCTGGAAGCCAAAATCTAAGCCTGACCGGCAGCCTTAACCTAACCCTAACCCTAACCCTAACCCTACACCTACCCTAACCCCTACCCCTATCCCTAACTTTAACCCTAACCCATTTCAAGTTTCCCCACTGGTGCCCCAGGTAGAAATAGACAATTGGGAACAAATTAATGAATGAACACAGATTGAACATCTGTGTTTTATTTTTATTTATTTATTTTTAATGTTTTTAAATGTTTTTATTTATTTTTGAGACAGAGAGAGACAGAGCATGAGCAGAGGAGGGGCAGAGAGAGAGGGAGACACAGAATCCAAAGCAGGCTCCAGGCTCTGAGCTGTCAGCACAAAACCCGACATGGGGCTCTCACTCATGGACTGTGAGATCATGACCTGAGCTGAAGTCAGACCCTTAACCGACTGAGCCACCCAGGCACCCCGAACATCTGTGTTTTAAATGAACATCTGTGTTAAATGAACACAGATGGAACATATTTGATATTGAAAGGGATTTGATATTTAAACGTATTAAGTTTGTTGGTTTAAGATAGACATGTCTTTAAAGTTATCATTAAGTAAATAAAACTTTTTTTATTTAAAAAAATTTTTAATGTTTATTTTTTGAGGGTGAGACAGAGTGTGAGCGGGCGAGGGGCAGAGAGAAAGAGGGAGGCACAGAATCCGAAGCAGGCTCCAGGCTCTGAGCTGTCAGCACAGAGCTCAACATGGGGCTCAAAACCACAAGCTGTGAGATCATAACCTGAGCCGAAGTCAGATGCTTAACTGACTGAGCCACCCAGGCGCCCCCATAAAATTTTTTTCTACCTAATGTTTTCTGAAGGTCAAATAAGGTCTTGTTATCTCTGTTACAATTTGTCAGCAAAAAAGGTGACTTATAATGATGGTTAATTTTGTCTGTCTCAAAGTTTTCATGGGTAATTTTTACGATAAGCTTTCAAAATTTTTGGTAACCTAAAACGTTAAAGTTTTGCTTGCATGATAAATTGAGAATTGAGATTGAATTAATTGGATATCAGGCGAGATAAGAGGCTAATTACTAATTACTAAATGTAAGTTTGTGCTTCTGACTTGTTGCAGAGAAACAAAGGATATTTGGATATGTGAGGAAACATGCTTAATAGATTCATAAGTTTGTCATCTAAAGAAATTCTGCTGTAACGTAGAGTTCACATTTGGTTACTACTTAGTTTTCAGTGGAGACTAAGATTTCTAAGAGTTAAAATTCTGCTAAATGTAGTTAACACTGATGGAAATAAGAAAAGGAACTCTGTAGAGAAGTAGGAGATATGAAATAAAGATATAAAAAATTGAAATATATTTTTGTTGAAGGTAAAAAAAAGTAATCTTGTCCTAAATGAGACTGGTTATTTTAAAAGAAATGGGTTGGGAGAAAATCTAAATGGAAAGGAAAGTCGTAGAAGGTCTATGCGGGGAAATCTTTGGAAAGGAATTTTATGTGTGGTCAGGATGGGCTAGGGTTAAAATAATTGGATTTTAGGGGCACCTGGGTGGCTCAGTCAGTTGAGCATCTGACTTCAGATCAAGTCATGATCTCACGGTTCGTGAGTTCGAGCCCTGCATCGGGCTCTGTGCTGACAGCTCAGAGCCTGGAACCTGCTTTGGATTCTGTGTCTCCCTCTATGTCCTCCCCTCCTCCCCTTCTCAAAAATAAATAAACATTAAAAAATTTTTAAAAATAAATGGATTGTAAATTGCACTGTGTTAAGATTCAATTCCTCCTCCTTTGATCCAAAGGCTTGGAAAATAATAGCAATACCCTTGGTGTCGGCCTCCAAATTCTCCACATTTGTGTTGTTTCTGTTTAGCAGAGAATGGATGCCTCTGCCATATGAGGAATGGATGATATATAAAGGGCTTTTACTGAGATATATGGGAGCCATCTTACTAAACTTAGCCCATTGTATGCCAAAATTGATATCCACATGGCTGGAACATATGTGTGTGGGCATTGCTAAAAAGGCAGGGAAATAGACCTTGACTTTGGCCCTTTAATCCCCTCCCTCAATGGTGGGTGATCAATATGTAAGTTCCTGTTGGGCAAAAATAAAATTAGTGCATTCTATGACAACCAGGGAAGTCTCGCTTGGTCACAGTCCATACCCCCAAGGTCCTGCAGGCAGGAAACGGAGGGGTAGGAGAAATTGGGGAAGAAAAGGTCAGCTCTCAGGGGTAAGGTCAAGCCTGGGTAAGAGTGGCTACTCCCAGCACCTCACAAGACTGACAGGGCTTTTGGCTGCCAGTCACATAGCCAGCCAAAACACGGGGTCAGAAGATCAGGTTTCTCCTGGCCAGCTATAGGAAATTGAGATAAGGGATGCCTTTCTTCCTTTTTCTTATAGATGGATAATTCCCCAACCAAGGCCATTATTCCTTTGGAATGCATTATGATTCATTTCCTATTGCACAAAGCCTTGGCCCCAATACAAATTGGAGGAGAAAACATGGCTTCAGAAGGAAAATATCATGGATAATACTATCCTACAATTGAACTTCTTTTGCAAATGTAAAGAAAAATGGGGAGAATCTCCCTATGTTCATTGTTTTGGGGCCTTAAATCAAAATATATGTAAGCAATGTAAGGTGGATCCTGATTTAATGGCAAACCTTTCTAAAGCCCAGCAGTCAAGAGGGGAAACAATTAAGGGCCCCTTACCTGTATCCAAAACAGACCTAGAGAAGGAGGACGGAAAGTCTTCCACCTCAACCTCCTCCTCCTCGGGTCCTCAATCTATATAAAAAAATTCAACTCTGCTCCCTGCTACCCACCTTATCCAGGCACGTTTCCCTTACAAGAAGCTAGAATGCCAGAAGGGGAAACCATTACATTATAAGATTTAAGACAGATAAAAAGAGATCTAGGTAAATTTTCTGATCGGATAAAAATGTACAGGCTTTTCAGAATATTGAGTATGTTTTTAAGT